TTCATCAGGGCCGGGCTCCTGAAGAGACACGAGCAGAGTCACGCGTGACGGGAATCATACTGCTGCCGACAGGGGTGTAGTGTGATGAAGCAGAAATAGGCTGTTGCACTGCTGAAGGACCGTCCCTAAGGTCTCGGTTGTACTCCCCTGGGGACGCCTTCACTGAAGTGTGTTTGTTTAGTAAAGACACCGTATTTTCCTCCACTCCATTTAAAAACCTGCTGATTTTACACATTTACTTAGTGGGTCATGGGACTTAAACATCTGTACTTGTTGGAACATCTCTGGATAATAAAGTGTCGCAAACATACTGATGTTATCTTTGTATTCCCTTTTCTACTCTAAGAGGCAGGACACCGCTGGGAATCACAAAAACAGACACGATCAGGAGTTTCTGTCCATTCTGAAGCTCAGAAATAACGCTAAGAGCAAACTTTGTTGAGACAATCTGAATTAAATCATACCTCTGCCTTTATGATACATTTTAAGAGGAGAGTTAGTGAATGAATTCTGATATTTACAATATTTAAAACTACACTTTGCAGCAGGACTCCATTCTTACAAACACTGTGGCAGCTGTTTCACACTGACATGCATACATTAATTTTCTTTCGGACGTGACAATCATGAGAGAAATTCGGATGCACACCATTAACAAGACTGTGTTGCTATTGCATGATATCAGTCCCTTTTAAGGAAAATCTGATTTCTGAAATTTCAGGAAATGCATTTTACCCATATTAAATTACTTCTTCACCTACGTTTGCCTCTCCATTATTTTTTGTGTCTCACACAAGACGACACTCAGTTTATCCGGACAAACACTAAATCTTATATACGTGAGCTACATTAACACAATAAGAGTGGCTACACTAATAAATCCCATTCTGAATTTGGTCATCTTGATTTGAACGTCTTCTCGTGTCTTTTTCGTCTACAATTTATTTTACCAAGTGAGTTCTCGTACCTGTGCTGAACTATAAGCCCTCCAGGAAGGGGGCGGGGTCTTCTCCCCTCTCAGGGTGGGATTTCCTGTCTCGCGCTGCTGGAGCGCAGAGGGTCCCAGCTCGCGCCAGTGGGGCTGCGCGTGTCCGCGCTGTGCAGGGTCTCGCCTGCAGGTCCGTCCCGCTGGAAGAACAAGTGTCCCTCCATCAGGAGAACCGGACTCCCTGAGCCGCCCTGAGCGGG